GACTTCTGCTTCAAAGGTACTGTTCTGCAAAGAGCTGATATAAGGTGGGGTTTCCGCCAGAAGCTTTTCTATCCTTGATCTCTCCTAGCAATAGGATTACATGACAGGATTCATTTCATTGTCTCTGTTTCGTTATACCCATCCTAATATGCATTCTACATTTCACTATACCCCATCACCTTCCCCATCATCCCTTAAGTCTAAATACTCAGGGCTACAGTGTCCATTGCTTCCAATACCACTGTACCAAATGACTCATCTTGGTCTGTCTACCAACCAGCCTAAAGGTGTTACGGAGATACAACTGCAAGATACAAAAGAAGTCATCACACTTACTACACTGACATACATATATGTAAATACCGAATGTGCAAATGCAATACCCATGATAGGACATCAGCAGAATGGAGAAACTGGAAGCACCAGGACTCTGCTCCTCCATGGAGACAAAAATAGAGCAAAGGGCTTCTTTGAGGGCTCCAGAAGCCAGTTAGAAGCATACAGCGCACCCAGGCAGGTACAAATGAAGAAGAGCCACATGGAAAAGGCAAAGAATGTTTAGGACAGTTGCCTATAGTAACTGCTCACTGTCCCTGACACTCCATGGCAACACGGTGAGAAAAGTCTTCTGTCTGTTGAGGAGAGAAACAAATGTATGATCAATGATCAGGTTTCCTTGTTGTCCTGAAGAGCTTGCTTCTGCCACTCATTCCAGAGGAATGAGAGCACCCTCTGGATACACTGTGGTGGCTGCTCAGAAAGAAGTTGTGCATTTGTTCAAACATTGGAGAGTCTACTGAGTTGAACACAAACAGAGAGAAGAAGGTATCACAGGCCTTAAAAAGTAACTACACGTCTTAAACTTAGCAATTACAGAAATTCAGAGATGACAATAGCCGAAAACATGTGTCACTGTCCTCAGAATTACTATAATTTGTGTCCCTCTGTACAAACCAAGTCCATAATCCTGGCCTAGGGGCTGTTATTTTCTTGGTTTTGTTTTGTTTGATTGTTTTTGTGGGGGGTTTTTTTGCTTTTTAATTCCCAAATGTCAACCAAAGATATAAAAAGATACAAGAAACAGGAAATTGTGTGCCAATTAGAGGAACAAAATGTATCTCCAAACCTGGTGGTAAATTAATCAAGTACCATTAATTGCCTGACAAAGATTCAAAAGAATCGTCACTAAGATGTTAACGGAGGAAGAACAAAAATAGACAGGTAACTAAATGATAGCAGGAATACTATTCATGACCAAAATGTACACCCAAGGAAACAGGACATGTAACCAACAATAAACATGAAATTGGGAGACAAAGATTACAATTCCTCAATTTAAAAATACACGAAGGAGTCAACAACGGACTTGATCAAGTATAAGAAAGAATCAGCACAACAAAGTATTCTTGTGTTAAATTATCTACTAAGAATCAAAGGACAGATTCTAGGGACTCATGGGACAGCAACAGAGGATTCAATAAGTACATTAAGGGAATTCCTGAGGAGAGGGGAGGGGAAGTGGGCAGACCATTGATATGACGAATTAAAGTCTTCTATGTGGAAAGAAGACACAAATGCAACAAGCTCAGTCAATTCACAGTAGGATAAATGTCAAGACGTGAGCACAGTAACACAAAATTAACCCTTCAAAACTCACGGGTGAGAAGAGAAATTTGAACCAGCGTGGCAAAAAAATCTCCTCTTGTCCAGGAGAGCTCCTAGGAGATTAGTAATGGGATTCTCAGACCTTATGGGAAGAAGTGCACAACCCAACATATAAGAATATCCTACCTGGCAAAACTTTCCCATGAATGTAGGGTAGAGACTTTCCCAAATAAAAAGTCTTCCAAGTTTACAAGTAGACCTGTCCTAAAACAAACAGTAAAGGAGGTCCTTCTGGTTGAAATGAAGGGATTCTAAACAGTAACTGAAACCACATGAGAACATAAAGGCCTCTGCTAAATATAAAATTTTACACAACTGGGGCACCTGGGGGACTCATTTGGTTAAGCGACCGACTTTGGCGCAAGTCATGATCTCGAGGTCTGTGAGAACTATCCCCACATTGGGCTCTGTGCTGACAGTCAGAGCCTGGAGTCTGCTTTGGATTCTGTGTCTCTATCTCTTTCTCAAAAATAAAAACACATTAAGAAAGTTCTAAAAATACACAAGTATACAAACCTGTCATGTTGTAATGAGGAAGCACAAGATTTTAATTTCTGCTACAATAAAAAGTCGGGGGTCCCTAGGTGGCTCAGCTTGTTAAGCATCAGACTTCATTTCAGGTCATAATCTCACAAGTAATGAGTTTGAGCCCCACATCAGGTTCCATGCTGTAAGCACAGAGCCTGCTTCTAGTCTTCTGTCCACCCTTTCTCTCTGCCCCTCCCCTGCTAGATCTCTCTAAATAAGGAAAAAAGAAATTTTTACAAAAGAATAAAAAATCATTAACCTAGGTAATCAAGTACATATTGAAAGACAGAATTTGTGGTATCTGTAACTTAAGGTGAGTGCACGGGTGGAGCTGATAGGTAAAATAATTTTGTAAGCAACTGAGAGTATCAGTTTAAAGTGGGATTTTATACCTTGAAGATGTTTTAAGTAATAACTATACTACAGAAAACAGAAAAGTTAATGAGAATGGTACCAAAGCATGTCATGGGTATAAGAGTACAATTAGGGATAAAAAATTCTAAATTTGATACAGAGGTACAGAATTGTTTGTTTAAGAGAGAGACAGAGACAGACAGTGCACGTGTGAGAGAGCAGTGGAAGGGCAGAAGGAGGAGGGAGAGACATTTTCAAGCAGATTCCATTCTCTGCTCCTAGCCTGACACAGGGCTCAATCTCCGAGCCAAAATCAAGACTCAGGTGCTTACCAAACTGAGTCACCCTGGCATCATGGAAATATAGAATGTTGAAAAATTACAATACTGAAGAGTAATTCACTCAGGCAAGGAGAATATAAAGTCACAAATAAACACATGATGAAGTTAATGGTCTGTTATGACGACTCACCATGACATTACTAGTCTATCATTATGACAATTCATCTAGACTATCATTAGTCTATTCACCTAGACATGATAAAACATTCACCGACCACCAACTAAGGAAAGAAAGAAACAAAGTAAGTCCCAAAGTATGTATGTATAATATTTATACAAAGAAATACATACACAATTTTACTGGTAAAGGGTATGGTTATTTCATACTTGACTTAAACTCACAATGTCTTAAAATGTACTACATGAACATTGCCATCTCTAACAAAATATACAGGTACATGAAACTACAAATAACATGTGGTAAGTCCCATACAAAAGACAGCACATTATTACAAACCCAGAATAAGACAAAATTTAACCCCAGTCTACATAAAAGAAATAGATGAATCCTTTCAAAGGAAGCCTACTATATAACTTTCCTTTTAAACTATGACTATGAGGCCACGAAAAAGGCGCTTTGAATTACTGGCGTGTCTTCATTGACAGTAAAACAGGAAAGATATTCGTTAAAATCAAACATAAAATGCTCTAATAAAAATTTTTACAAATAAGCAATTAAAAGGCATTTAAAATGTACTATTTTCTTTATATATTGCTCCTGTTACACAGAGTGCAAGGATATAATCCATTCTTTAGAACTAAGCTGCCTAAAATAACTTTCCTTTCTAAATCAAGGGACCCTGCCAAAGTTGCAAAATATCCTGAGAATCACTTTATAAACTAATAAGTATGTGGGATGAAATTCAGACACATTCTGAGGAAAGTAGAAGAATTGTCTTGGGATTTTTTTCCTGAAGTAAAATCACATTTATGAACAATCCTTTTATATATATATCGAATTTTACTAATTATCTACCTCACCTCTTTTTTAAATATTTATTTATTACTGGGGGGGGGAGAGAGAGAGAGAGAGAGAGAGAGAGAGAGATCACTCAAGCGATAGAGGGGCAAAGAGAGAGGGGACAGATGATATAAAGCAGGTTCCACGTTGACACCAGAGAGCCCCATGCTAGGCTCAAACTCACCAACTGTGAGATCATGAACTGAGCCAGAGTCCAATGCTCAATCGACTGAGCCACTCAGGGAACCCCTCTATCTCATTTTTATAAGGCACATACCCATGTCATACAGAACTTTGGATTCAAAACAATCAGAGGGGTGTCTCACATGCAACTTATTAAAAAGTGAAAACATATGAAAAAGTCACAGGAACTTCCTACTATACAAATGATTACATGATGTAAATACTAGGAAATAAGGTTACCACTGAGACTTTACTATAGGCTCTGAGTAAATAACTTCAAAACGTTCTAGCTCCCTTATGGCATTAATATGCAGGAATGCTAGGGTACTCATAGATACATTAAAGTAGTTCACCATTGAGCAAAGGAACACACAGAGTAGAAATGTCAAATTTTAGTTAATACAAAGACAAACTAAGTTTTGATGCGAAATAAAGGATTAGATTTTGTCATTTGAGGAAGGCGTTCTGGGATCTTTTAAAATTTCTGAGCCTCAATTTTGTATAATTAAGATTAAAGCCTCTGTAGCTTTGGAAAGCAGAAACCAGAAAACATGTGATCTCTGTCTCCAGTGTTCCTGGGATTTCTGCAACAAACCCCAATATGCCCACTGCTACCCTGACACACTTGTCACAAGAAGCAAAAGAGAATTTAGAAATGACTTAGCATAGAGTTCCTCAGAAATATAGAGATACCCTCTGGGGCTCACAAAGCAATGGAGAAGCTCTCAGATTATGGAGGTCCTCACTATGAGGTGGTGGATGTTCACTGGAGCTGAAAGAGAGTCCTTGGAGAATCAAAGAACATAATGTGTTAGATAGCAGATGTCCCTCTATGAGAGGGAAACACATAAAACTAGCCTTCATAAACGAATTTCCATTCAAGGAGAACTACTTGAACTACATTTTAAGGTCGATCTTCCTCCTTCACATTTGGATTTACCTCTGTCATCTGCTTCCTTCCCACCTACCTGGGTGTGAGGCTACCGTGTCCTTTCTCTTCACACCCCGCAGCTCCTTCTCTTCCTCCAAAAAGATGACCAGATCTGGTTTTGATACAATGAGACCTGTTTATCAAAAGAAGGAATAGAATTATTGCTGGAGAGTCTACCTTTCAACCCAGTATTGTACTCAGTAGACAAGAGAGGACATGATAGAAATCTAAAAAAAATGACTTGCAAAACACTGTTGCCCAAGAAAGAGTCTCTTTAGCACATGTAGGAGAAGTTTCACATATTCACATCATGACCCACTTCCGAGTACTACCAGTACAAGAAGCAGTGAAAATTGGAGTCTAAGATGTGGGCAGTACCGTCTTATGCCACTCAGTGTTCAGAATTGCCATGAATCTACAGAAATGGTGGTGGTACCATAAAAAAAAAACGGAGGCTAAAACTGAAAAGGAAGCCTCATGAGGTATTGCTCTACATCTACAAATCCCTACTTGCTTCCATTACTGCAGGGATCTGAATTCCAGTCATGCAAAGAGCAAGCTTCCAAGAAAGAGTCTTCAAAGGAAGGAACAAAGTCCTGAGTGTGGTTTGGGAAATCTGGAAAGTGATCCTCACCCAAGAAGTGGAGGTGCCCATAGGTCTCTAGTATCACATCCCTGTACAGTTCCCGCTGACTGTGACTCAGGCATCCCCACTCCTCCTGAGTGAATTCTATGGCCACATCCCTGAAGGTCAGCAGTCCCTGCAACAAATACCAGAGTTATCCAGTGGCCATTGGCAGTGTTCATAATGGTACCTAAGATGAAAGAGGGAGTTAATGTCACTAGGTAGACTCCAAAAACTGACCTTCACTGCTTACCTGCTTGTACCCACTGACCTTCATCCTTCATTTTACTTAACCTTTTTTCTCTCTTATATTTTACCTCTGGCAAAACACCCTATGGACACAGTCTCCTGTGATAGAAACAGAAAACATTCAACAAAATGTAAAGTCTGCCCTAAGGAACAGCATGGGCAGGCCCACTTGGAGCTTATCCCCTGACTCATACCTATGCAGATAGATGATGAAGTTGACTCCTGGAGTGAGGACAGCTACCTTGACCTCCTTGTAATATTAAAATCTCCACCCAAGGAGAAGCACAAACCTCACTTACACAACACACAAAGTATGTATAGAGGTGTTCTCTATAGGACCATGTGCCACCTTATGTCCAGTTCTACATAAGATGACAAGCTTCCACTTCCTAATTATCACCCGAATCTTAAATAAAAGGAAATCATCACACACACACACACACACACACACACACACACACACACACACCCTTGATCTGTAAGTCTCTCCTTTGGATGGTATTCCCTCTGATCTCCTTATTGGCTGCAAATCAAAGTTCCTTTGTGTGATGACAACCCCAGTTGCTGTACTTTCTATCTAAGACTCTATTATATTTAAGGATTTTCAGACACACAAATATGTTAATCATGTGATTCTTGTTTTCATTTTCTGACAATGAAAAGAAGTAAATAAAAGGGCATTTCTGTGACCAGAGTGTGGAGTAAAACAAAAAGTTCTTTGGCCTTTTTTCTTTTTGTTATTCTATCATGTTTTGCTGGTTTTTTTTCTTTTTCTCTCCACATGGTGATGAGACTCTTTCAGTGGCAGAACTTCACCTTATATCTGGCAGCCCAATGACAGACACCTGAGACATGCAAACATGCCCTTCCTCAAGGAAATCATAGCTCCTTTCTTGCCTTAATGTTTACTTTTTATAAAATACTTGAGACAGGCAGAGTATGACATTCTTTTATCAATGGGCTACAAGGTGTGTGGAAATTTAATTGAAGCTACATTTCTTTTGCCTTTGTTCTCCCCATCAGAGACTACAAGAAAAGACAAGCTTAGAAAAAAGAAGTTTCCAGCTGAAATGTGATGGGTTCTGCACAATGCTCAGTAAATCTAAGATCCTTAGGAATGATGAAGGGAAAGATCAATATTATAGAGGAGACATCTGGTAGAGAGCACCAAGCCAATTAAAGAAGTGAAGACAAACTAAATGAAACATATTGTTACCAGTGGTTAAGACATACCAAAGGACACATTATTGGGAGCCATTTCTGAAGTCACTAGTTGAGAAAATTCCTTGGGAGGTTAAGGCAAGTTTGCACAGCCTCTTGCCATCAGATGATGACTGATATCCACCCCCCACTCAATTATTTCTACTTGCGCACCAACCCCCAAGGCACCTTGTTGATTGGTTTTGGGAGTGACCTGTCCCCTTATTCTGGCCCTGGTATGATGACTGCACCTTGTAAAGGAACTTATTATGGGAACTTCAACTTTTGTGTTTATGGGAACAGACCTCATTTCTCTGATAGGTCCTGTTTTCCTCGATACTTCCCTTGAGCTATAAACAGGCTAATGACCCTTACTCATAAAAGATTAACCTTTACGTGTAAAATTCTGTTTCTGCCATTGCATTAGTCCAAGAGGTTCATACAGGTCAACATGTAAATCAACTAACCAAAAATGTTTCTCATGCCCTAGCTGTTTAAGAAATCATAGACTAAAAACTGGACACAAAAGTAAATGCACTTGAAGAGGCTATTCTATGTATTGGAAATGAGATAAACCCTTTAAGGGTATGGTTGGCACTCTGGTGCCATAAGGAATATAACTGGACAATTAAGTCTTGCTCGGAGACAAAGAGCTGAACTTAGAAGGAACAGATAAGGGCAGAACATAAGTTAGTACCTATACCTTTGCTAACTGGTGATGTACAGCCGTCCCTTCCCTAAGGCCTACATTCCACAAACACCTTCCCTTACACCGACAGCTGTGATGAGGATGGATAAGAGTATCAACAACTTAACCTATGACTTAATCTTAGCATTATTAAAATCTGTATGTTAGCCTGTTTTTCACTAAGAACACCCTGTTATTTTCTTGGTTACTCAACCTCACTATAATTGGGGCAGTTCTGCAAGAATACTTCTGTAATACCTGTTTCTGTACACTTTCCAAAGGATCTTACCACAGAGAACTATCCATTGTGAAAACTCCATTTTCTGATGCCATGTTATTGTTTGATCTATAAATAAAGACAACAAAACCAAGAGTGCAGAGATGCCTGCCTGGTGATCAGAAAGAATCTCGGGGTTGGGGCGCCTGGGTGGCTTAGTCGGTTAAGCGTCCGACTTTCGCTTAGGTCATGATCTCACGGTTCGTGGGTTCGAGCCCCGCGTCGGGCTCTGTGCTGACTGCCAGCTCAGAGCCTGGAGCCTATTTCAGAGTCTGTGTCTCCCTCTCTCTCTGACCCTCCCCTGCTCACGCTGTCTCTCTCTCTCTCTCCTAGAAATAAATAAAAATATTTAAAAAAAAAAAAGAAAGAATCTCGGGGCTCTCTCACTCTCTCTTGCCGACATAATCCATCCTTCAGGGACCTCTGGACTGGCTGCAGCTGGACTCCAGCAACACATGATCACTGATGTGTTCTCTGGCCACCAAACTCTAAGTCAGATTATCAATTATAAGAATATAGTGGACTTATACAAAGTTCAATCACAAATCGTTTCAGTAGAGGCTGCTTTGAGGCAAACAGACTTGAGCAATGGATTGTAAAGAGGCCCATAGGGCCCACCTGGCTGAATAGAGGCAGGCCAGCAGGTGACCTGACTCAAAATATCTACAGGCCCTATCTAACAAATGGGCTACTTACAACCAGGCAGAATTACCAAATAAGGGGAAATTCCAAAAGTCACCATACATTCTCAAATTCCCCCTGCAAAATCAGCCCCAACTCACTGCCCCATGGCAGGCATCCTTTCCTCTGCTGTCCTGCTCACCACTCCCTTGAAGTGTATTCATAAATCTAGCGTCCTATTCTGCCACAGGTGAATTCTGTTCACCACTCATGCCCTTGGCTTCCACATGATCATCAACCTGTATTTGGGAGCCCCCATCTGAATCAACGCCATATGTAGAAACCTGTTTCCCTGTCCTGTAATGTCTAGTATATTTTAAACAGAGTATCTTTTTTCACATTTTAAAAACCAAGACTGACCCCCTCCACCCTTTTTTTTTTTTAAACATTCTGAGTTATTCTGGGCCTCAGATCCATCCTGTGTATTTTTGCATTCATTTTTTGGTGCAAAAAGGTGGGTTTTTTTAATAGCATGATTTAGGCCGGGTGGGCACCAAGTGCCACAATGGGGCTGTGAAGAGTGACTGGCTACAGACTATGCAGTTAGGGGACGTAAAGGCAGAAGGGAGGCCTCCAGAAGGACTCGGATATGCTCAAGGGGAATCCTACGATCCTGGAGGCCTTGTGTTTTTCCTTTTCTTACTCCTAGTCTACAGAAGCTACTAAGCAGGGAACTAAAGGGAAAACTAATGTCCTTGACTGAAATCCCAGGACCAGACCCCATCAGCAATAGGATTCTTGGACTCAACGCCTTCCCCTTTGGATCTGTCCTAAAGGGGATGTTTGCAATACTTGCAAGACTTTCTTTCAAAGTGACAGGTGTTGATGCCCTACTGAAAGCCGGGTTGGAAAATGTAGAGAAGACTCCAGGTTATAGGGGAGAAGAGTTCTAAAGCCCTAACCTTGAGTATCATTCCTGGGAAGGTTTTAAAACTTAGGTGAAAACATGAGGCAGAAACATCAAAAATACGGAAATCAACATTTGCGATTTCTAAATCCATGAAATTTAAAGGGAAAGGATGGCATGGCCTTCGACCTGGGACATCAAGTTTACCTGAGAGCTGGCCATTTCTTCTTCTTTCCCCTCGTCCTCTAGATTTCTTTCTCAGAAGGTATTTGTGGAGAAATCAGCTGCATCAGGAGAAAATGCCCTAAAGGCACCAAGAGAACTTCTCACCAGAAACGTGCTCACTGCCATAAAGGACGTTGAAATGCAGTGGGTCCAACTTCCTAGTTGTTTGTGTCAGAAGGTTTTCAGAAACCAAAACTACCTACTTGGAGCCCAATCTCTGAGTTTTCCTTCTGTATTTTCAGGGGCTTCCACTCCCACAGAAACCCAAGACTTCTTCTACACCATACGAACAGTGTGCTGTGCGGACCTAATCCTCCCACACTCGTGTAGAGGAGACCCTGTTACCTCTCCTTGAGCAAAAGCCTGCACTCAACTCTCATAAATTAATGGGAAGCGTTCCTGCTTAACTCTGGCCATACGTAAAATCACCTGGAGCACTTGAATGACACTGCTGTATCCATCCCCACCAATTGACAGAATCTGAGGAGAGGGTCCATAGCAAGGGTCGTTTTATTTTTTTTTTAATGTTTGTTTTTATTTTTGAGAGAGAGAGAGAGACAGAGTGCAAGCGGGAGTGACAGAGACAGAGGAAGACACAGAATCCGAAGCAGGTTCCAGGCTCTGAGCTGTCAGCACAGAACTCAGTGCAGAGCTCAAACCCATGGACCACGAACGAGATCATGACCTGAGCCAAAGTCGGATGCTAACCAACTGAGCCACCCAGGCGCCCCAGAAAGGGTTGGTTTTGAGACTCCACATGGGATCCCATTGGGAACCATTTGGGTAAGTAAGGAAGGCTATGGTTATCATCCAGATTTAAACTCACTTCCTCTCCACTGATCAGAGTTTCTGGACATTGGAAAAAAGAGTTAGAAACTTAAGAGCCAAGCACACCTTCAGCTCTTTAGCCAAACTTTTCCATGTCTTCTTCATTTCCATTGAGATGGGTCTAAGGAGCCACGGGCGTCT